CCTGCTTGGGGGGAGGGGAGACAGACACACGAGGGGGGGGGGAGACGGGACGGGGGTGGGTAAGAAACAGGAGGAGTGAACATTATTGAATTACGGCACTAGGGGGAGCAGTGGGCAGGAGAGGCCCATCTGCACCTTGTGTGGGTTGGCTCCCTGGGCCGGGTACCGAACTCAGGCCGTAGCAGCAGCGGTAGCATTGAAGCACTGAGCCTTAACCCGCTAGGCCACTGGGGAGGCCCTTCTCATCACCTGGCTTTAGGGCTACTAGTACTTCTCTGGAGGGAGCGCGTCTGCTTCGGCAATGGTGAGGTGATGTAAACGCCTCATAAACTCGGCGTCTGCAGGTGTAGCTCATGTCCCTGAGAGGGCCGTGAGGGGTAAACAACGCGGTCTGGCATCTGCTCATTGGGAGCCTGCACTCAAGTGGGCCTCGAGTTTACAGCCCTGGTGGCCCTAGCCGCTGCCAGCAGGTGCTAATACGCACCGGGGCTCCCGTCTGAGGGCGCCGACTCGCCTGCACAGCCAGGAACGCCCGTCCAGTCTTCCTTCTGTGGCAGGGCCTGGAGACGAGCGTGGACACGATTTAAAAATACAATGTGATATTTCTCTTTTTTCCCAAAGACACTTTTTGGTCAGCACTGGGTCCAGAATTATGACCCAGTCTAGTTCTCATTACCTTCTGTTTTGCGGTCACGCCATTGTTTTGTGTGTATGTTGGTCTCCCCATCTAGAGGATTTGTTGTCAGGCCCTGAGTTTTCTTCCTTAGCCGATTCTTCTGCACTTCTGTGTTCAGAGTCAGCATACCAAATTGCTCGGGAGCTAGCCTTTTGGAAGTGAATGCGGTTGGCCCATGAACATCCTTTGGTCTAGTACTATTTGTTAAAGTGTCTTCAATTTTTATTTTAACATCTGTTAATAAAACATATTTGTTATATATTCAACTGTGAGTGGGGTCGTTTAGCATTATATCTAATTCAGCTTCTGTAGTCTACTTATTCTGACATGGAGACAGAATTAAACATCTCTATGTGAGCAAGTGATTAGATAAAATTGTATTTCCTGATTACTTGGTATTCTGTGATAAGGTGATGAGAGGCAAGAATTGCAGCTCAATATCTGATAGGCTTTTCTAAGGTTTCTCTAGATTGTGCAGTGCAGAGGAACAGGGCACCTGAGACCTGACCATCTACAATACTGACATCCCCCCTTCTCCTCACACCACCTAGATTCGGATCCCTGAGGTTGGGATCTTGCATCTTTACGTTTAATGAGCTCTGCAGTAAAGAACTATTGACTTAGAAGAGCAACATCACTATGATGATGGAGGCCCTTTTTAAAGAGAGAAATGCTGAGTTGGGGGAGAGTGCTTATTGGATGTATATAGAGATCTTGTAGGAAGGTACAACTTGATTTCGGGCACCGTCGATATCAGTTTATTGCCTATGGCATATATCTTTTAGGCCTACATAGTCATTGAATGGCAACTATAAATCTCCATAAACCTAGCAAATGGAGTTGATTAAACCAGGACTGTGGCCTCTACTTTTGCAATGTAAAAGTGACACAGCAAATGCACAGTGATAACAGAAATCTGCTATTGAAGACTACTGTTTTGTCATTTTTTTTTAAGATTTATTTTTATTTATAAGAACTGGGGTTAGGCTGGGGGTGGTGGTGAGAGGATTCACCAGAGAATGAGTGGGGAGCAAAACAGGTGGATCTACTCAAATGCACTGCTGAGGAGAGCAGCAGGCAAGACAGGAGAGGTCTTCTGTGCCATGTGGGTTAGCTCCCTGGCTGGGGATCGAACTCATGCTGCAGAGGCTGGTAATAGCTTAATAGTGCTAAGACTTTAACCCTTGTGCCATCAGGGAGGCCCTGTTTTGTCATCTTAATGAGTAGTAGCTGACCTAACTGAAATGTTGCAATGAGGTTGGTTCTGTGGCTGGACATCCTGGTGCCCAAGCTACAATTGTCTGCCAATTAAATCTCTCTCTGCCTCAGTGCATTCAGTGTTATAAATGTAACTGTTGACCATTTTTGAAGTGGCCGTGTAGGTATGTCATTAAATATGAAAGGGGTTTTAATAAAATTATATACATACATTGGAAAGTCAGAGAACCGTCAAGTGGTTTATTTTACAGAAGTGGGGACTTGGCAAACCATGATTTAAATTTTATGCTTTGAATCATTTTGAGCCTTGCTTTGGGTTAGGTGCTACGAATCCAAGCAGAAATGCTGAGACTAGCTTCTGAGCCAAGACATTTAGTTTTCAAGGGAGACAAAGTTGGATAGACTGAAGACAGTGATTTACTAGTAATACATTTTGTTTATTACATTTTGAAAATAATGAGATAATGAATGACTGTTTTTCTTTTAATTTTTAACCTGAGAAGGACTTTGATTATCATCTAATTCCAGATTCTCACTGAGAAGTAACAAACAAAAAACATGTGGGAAACTGTCCCTTAAATATTTCTAATGGGAAAAACTTTATTTTCCTCCTAGTAGTGGATCTCTACTAAATCAGTGTGTATATGGACCACATGACATTTTCATTTATTGAATGGAAAGTTGAGAGGGTCTTTGTTTAGCACTCGAAATATTGGACATGATTCAAATGTGAGTCAAGTGTGTCTAGAGGCTTTATTCATACCTATTTTCTTTTAGTCAGCAATGCTTCATAATGCCCTGGTTTCATGAATTAATTTTAATGGAATTAAACTTGAACAGCTCAAAATTATATAATTAATTTAATTCAGCTTCAATTAAAGTTACTAATTGAATCAAGCCTACTAGCATGACACCTGGCGGCAGGCAGCTACATAACAGTGGCAGCAAGTATGTTGCACTCTGCTAATGAGAGTTCATGTGTGCTGGGGAGTTTGTGTAACAACCTTTTCTGTTGATGATCTCAGGCAGGCCTGGAGTTCACTGTAGCAGTGGAAAGATTTCTGGAGTTGTTTAAAAAGGAAAGATTTTAATTGAAACAAACACATCTCAGGAAGATTATGCTTGCTCTGTGACAATGCTCAATAAAAGTTATATAAATCTACAACATATTGGTTTAGCAGACTTCTAATCTCTATTTTACTGCTAACTATACTTTTGCTTTCTAAAAATAGTTACTATTGAAGGTCCTATTTTTTTTTTTTTTTGAGCTCTTAGCCTTTGGACTTAGTCCTAAGTTGGTGTCCATTTATTTTCATGTGTTGAAATGTGTTTCATGGCAGAATTTTTCAATTGTGAACTCCCTATGGTACATGAGAAATTTTTGCATGTGCACAAGTTTTTCCCTTCCACTGGAAATGTTAACATAGTTGACTAACAACTTCTGTTTTAATCTCTTTCCTTTCCTTGCTTCCATGGCTTGATCTCATCCAAATTCTTTTCCCTCTCTAAGTCCTTTCTAATTGTACAGACTCCTCTTGGTGCTTTTAATGTGCTCTTTTGGTGACTTATTATTTGAACAGTTTTAGCCATCAAGTTTAGGAAAATCAGTGCTTCTAGCTATGATTTTATTTGTGACTTGCAAATTCAGGTGTCCAATGCTAAATTCATCCATTAAACTATAAATTCCCTGAAGACTTGGGTTGTATCTCATAATTCACTGTATTGCATTATGTAGCATAATTCTTAAAAATCTTCTATGTGCAAATATATATTTTATATTAATAAATTATTGCCCTTGACTCCAAAATTTCCCAGTCAAATCTAAACTAAGAGAAGTCAGTCTCTTTAATCCTACCTTTCCTCCTTACCTGTGCAAACCTTTTGTTATTTTCTCACATTTACTTCCTTTCCTGTGTTGTTTTCCAGCTGATTAAACTTTCAGCAGCAATTTCTACCTGAACAATGCTAATTTTCCCTTTCTCTTTTTCTTCCTTTTAGATACAGCCATACTTTAGTATCACCTATGTGCCCCTTCCCCAAATTGAAATAGAATCTTTGGTGGTGCGGCCCAGAAATCTGTCTCTTAAAAAGCCCCACAGTGAGTTAAAGTGCAGTCAGGATGGGGAACCACTGTTGTGCACAGATTTCTTAATCTTCCTAATGCATAGCTCTGCCTAGGGAATTCATAAACTTCCATGGCTGTTTTGACTTGTCTTGCTTTTAACTTCTCACCTTGGCATCCAAATATCCATACTGTGTCCCTAATCAAACCTTTAAATACTTATCTTCTGTTGTCTGCCTTAATGTACTTTACAGTCCAGAGAATTGGGATTTTGCTCAGGCGTCTGCGCTTCTTCCCCTGGGAACAACCTTTCTCCCATGTCTACTTTTAGAGTTCCTGCTAATCTTTTAAATACCACCAAACTGTGCCTTTTCTACAGTGCCTTGCCTCATCTCTGAATCCCGATGAGTTTCTTTTTTCTTTTTTTGAACCACTGCAGTGCTCTGGACTTCTTACAACACACATTTTTACCTTGTATAGTTTGCTTTTTGTTTGAGTTATGTTCCCAGAAAGACATATTTTTCCTGATGTCTTGGCTTCCCCCCTGAGAACCCATAAACTCACATATAAATCTCTTACCCTAAACACCCTCCCTTCATAGCATAATTCTTGACTGTTTGCCCAAGTTTCTATAGAGTACTCTGTACTGACTTTCTATACTCAGTGTCTTCTCCGTCAACTGCAGCCTCGCTTTATCTTCCCCACACGTTGGGGTCTTTTCTCTCTCATGCTCCCCTGCCACCCCATCCTCTTCAAGTGTGTACTTTTCATCCTTGAGGTGCCGTTCCACATCTCTATTATGGCAGATCATTTCCTGTATTAAGATGATTTGTTTACAACAATTTTAGCAGATTATTTTTACTGTAAGGATGTTTCTTTAATGCTAGGCACATAATAAATATCATTTGAGTCCATCAGGTATATAACAGCCAATAGGAGGGACTGATTTCTTTAACTTGCAGCAGATAAAAAAATATTCATAAAAATTATAAAATGAAAAAATATGTAACATTTAATAATAAATATCTTATTTTTATTATTTAGAGAAATGTGATAAAGAAGATGCGGAGAGAGAGATAACTCAAACTGCCAGTAACTGCTTCACACGTGGGGAGATGCAAGACCAGTCCATTTGGGGAAATTGTTCAGATGATGAACTCATCAGAAGTAAGTGTTTTTAGAGAAAACCGAAGTGCTTTGGGGAATGACCATGAGAATGTGCTCAGTTAATTGCCCCATATCTGCCCGAAATCCATAAATCAACAAAGTTTAACTAAAAGTATTTTCATATTTTAAATACTAGAACTAAAACAAGGGTGTAAATAATACTGTCATTTTTCATCCTTTCTTTAATAAGGAAGAATTGACCTGTAAATGTTGAACCCAATTCTCAAAGAGGTTTAATTAAAATTTAATTACTTTTTGATCAGTGACCAAGAAGAAGTCTGACAACTCTAGGTATCATGGACTGTGAACCTTAAAAGACAATCAGTAGTACATTTGCTATTGTGGTGCCTGTTCTTCTAGCCAAAGAATTCCAAACTTTTTTTACAATTAACATTTTGAGCACTATTTGTTTTCTTTTGATCATTTTCCTCTTCCTGAAATTACTCTGTAGAATATATACCAAAGCTTTGGTGCACTTTTATTTTACTTTGGTAATGCTCTGAAATACCAGTGGCATCTGGGTGTTATTTAGAATGCCAATTCGACATCTAGTTCTGCTCTTGACCTTGAGCTTCCTTTCTGATCCCCAAGTTCCCCCAGTGTGTTCAGGAGGAATTTGCCATAAAGTGAAATTTCTCTGTCATTAATATGCAAGTGAAAAGATCACTGTTATACCATCCCAGAGACAACCTAGGCATCAACTTTTTGAAAATCTTATGGTATCCCCATTACTGTGTCTTATTCTCAGATTTTCAGAGAGGACAGAGAATTGTTTTCTGAGAATCAAGTATTGTTTTATTATTATTTCATTGAACTTAATCTTTAGCTCAGACGACTTCACAATACAGACCTTTCTTGTGCTACTTATCACACTTAGTTTGGAACTTGGAACATTTCCTTTCCTCTCTAGAATGCCCAGTGTCAGTACCTAGCTGAAAACCAGGTATATTAGGGCAGGGGAAGGGGAGGGGGAAGAAGAAATAAAACAACTTAGTAGAAAACAAACAATAACAAAAATAATTTCAGCTTTTCAAACTAGTAAAAGTCAGTGCATTGTAGTTTAATTTTGGAACCACTTTGCATTTATCCACTTTTGTCTTAGAAAAGTGAATAGGTCAAAATCAACAAACACAACTATGAACCAGAGACACACTATGGGGGAGTTGGGGAAAGGAGGGGTTGGGGTCAAAATAAGGGGGTTGCAATTGTATAGGGAATATAAAAATAACATTAAAAAAATAAAATATAAAAAAAAGAAAAGTGAATAGGAAGGAAATGAAACTCAGAAATCAGTGAGGAGCAAGATTTATATAGCTTCTCCCAGAGAATCAAATAAACTTTATTTCAAGTAAACATTTATTCCCCAAACATTTATTGGTTGTCTTTTATCTAAATATTGATTCTCTGTTGTGAAACTTAGGGTTTTGTTAGTTACTGGCGTATTTTATTTGTGATTTGTTAACAACTGGGGTTAGTGAGAACGAGGTGAGGTCTTAGAAATAATTTTATTTTCATCTTTCGTGGAACATAATTGTTTTCTTATTTGTTTTTCATAGTCATAGGGTGCTAAGTGTGTGTATTTTATTTAATTGATTTATTTCCCTAATCTCTGTTCCTAAGGCCTATACTGGGAAAACATGAATTAGAACTCTATAACAAAAACCAGAGTCCAAGCACTGTTGCATAAGGACATAGAAAGGCATATTAACGTGCTAATTTTTTTTTTTTTCTGGTGGTTTGGTGACACTCATTTTAATCTCAAAATTCATACTATTAAAGGGAGTAGATTCAATGAAATATCTCTCTTTTGTACATATTTGTTCAGTGGACAGTGATAAAAATCTTAAAAATGAGATGAAATAGTTTCTGTACTGAGACTTGGGACACTGAAGCATTTGGGAACAACTCCTTAGTTGCCTATAATATGTACTGCAGGAATGCAGAGCTCCAGGGCTCGAACAGGAATGGAGGGACATAGGAAAGGTAGTGCCAGAGAGGGTAACTCCACTCCTGCCCAAAACATAAACTGGCAAGAACTTCCAAATATTTGTGGGTGACGTCGAATCTGAATTGCGATTACAGACTTTAAAACTATATTTCTGTCATTTTTCTATTCACCACTACAAGGCAAAGGCCACTTTCTGCGTCTACAGAAAAATTTGTTGCCTGGATTTGCCGAAAAGGAACACTTTATGTCATTTTTAAACCTGACTCAATTCTGGAAAGCATTTGAAAGTTTGATAGTGTGATAGCTTCTGCTGCTTCAATTCCCTGATACTAAGCTCTGCAGACCTGTCCGATTTTCCTTCTTTGACCATCTCTGCATAATTTAATGTCTGTCTCTCAGTCCTGCAGTTAAGCGAGACATGTGTTTTTCCTTTGCTTAAGCGGCTAGTGCATTTTGGGGCCCAGTGAATCTTTGTAATACCAATAGACCTTGGAAAGAAGGCTCTGGTGCTAGCTGTGTGGGGGAGGAGGGCCACATCTGCGGTGAGTCAGGATCCCACTGGCTTCAGTTCCAGGAGACCGGTGTGGCTCGCTGAGCACCGTAGAAGAGGCAGCAGCTGGTTCTCATGGAACCAATGTTAGTGTTCCCACTGAAGTGCGAGGTTACTGGATGGCGGGATCGTCAGCAAAATGACACCGGCTGGGGTGTGGGAACATTTTCAAATGCACAGCCCACTCTTTTTTCCAAGCTTCCACGGGACAGCTCAGCTGCAAAAGCAAGTGAAGGAGCTGGACTCGGCCTAATATGATTTCTTTTTCTCTCTCTCTTCTTGAGAGTGGTTAGTGAGAGAGCTGGCAGCTAGAATCCCCTCTGTTGCCTCCTGCCTTCTCTGTTAGATGCTGCTTAAGGCATAATTTATAGGGGACTGTTAGCTGTCAGTGTGATGAAGCTGTTTTTACTTTTCTGAGAATAAGTGAGCTCTGGAAAGTCAAGGGAGTGGCTGCTTTGGAAATTGTATTCTAATTAAAGGGTGTATTCTCAAGCCTCATAAATGCAATCCAAGCTGAGAAGCATTTCCAAATTATTCTGTGAACTTTAACCCCGAGTTCTGTGGACCACCCACTTGTGGCTCACACTTGGTTCATGCTCCACATAGAAGTTGGCACTTGGTCTGCCTTTCCTGGTCCTTCTAGAAAACGTTGCAGGTGGCAGACCTGAGGTACTATGCTCTCAGGGCCTGGATTTCCAATTGGTTGCCCTTGAATTGCTAACTTATTAGAAGGAATCCTGTCTGGAAGTTATAAATAAAAGAAAAGAAATCCATATGGAATCAAACATTTCAAATAAATAGGCCACACACAATCTGGTCAGGGAATGTGCATGGTGATTCTCTTTCTTATGAAATTTAAATTAAAATATGATTCCAGCCACTGAAGTTTGTTAAAAGAAAACTCTAACTCAAATCAGTAAAGAATTAAAAACATAATGGGAGTTTTGTGGGGAAGTCTTATAATCAGAAATTTTAATTTTCTATTTTTGTGTATTTTAATCTTTTTTACAGCTTAAAAGGCTGAGAAAATATTTTGGTATGTAATTTGATTTCTGGAATGAGGCTTAAATTTTAGATTTTATAAGAGCATCTTTTTATGGAACACTGATTAAGACTTTGACTTTTCCCCTCAGATTAGCATATATGGTACAGTATATAATTTGGAGGTATGCCTTGTTTTAATAATCACTATTCCTCTGACTTAGTAAAATAAATGTTGCAGAAGTGACATCCTCAATTAATATTAATTTTTCTATTTAACCCATAATATGCATAAACTGATAACGGGCAATATGCAACATTTCATGTTTTAATTAGACTAGAAAAGGAACAGAAGTAACATTTTGATCCCAGTCTTTGGGGGGATTTATTTCTAAGGTAGGAAGGAGTGTGTGTGTGTTGCTGTGCTTATACTCATAGGCATGTGTAATATTTTCCTTTAATTTAGGTCAAATTCTACTATTCTAATTATTTCCTAGAGAGAGAGAGTGAGCTTACATTTCTCTTTGTTCCTTTTTCTAAAGCGCCTCAGGTCTCTCAGATTTTTTTTCTAGGTCTTTCTGAAAATTCTTATTATTTAACTTTATCCTTGGACATTGCTTTTACATAAATGTCTCCTAATTCTAAATGTCATTACTTAACTCAGAAATTTTCCTTAGCTTCTCTTCTGCACTAAATTTCCCATTAAATTAAACCATTTTGTTCAGCTAATTCTCTCCTTTGTGATTTTATAGAATTCCCATGATCTGAAGCAAAGTTAGAATGCTCTACTTAACTGGTAATCCCCATTCTATTTAACCCATTTATTCATTTTGAAGAGTTTTCAGCTCTCCTAATAGTAAGCACTTAATTGGAGTAGAAAGTGAGCCTCTTTCTCTAGTTCACACTCGCCTCTTTTTATGGGACTGAGGCCCATGCCTTTTCACCCTTCCTCATACTTGAAACCGCCTACTTTGGCACACTCTGCCTTTCCTCTTTACATCAACAGGCTCTGTTATCAAGAACTATTATTTCTTTTCCGAGCCTTTGCCAGCTTGCCACTGATCACCCCTGATTGAATACCATGCCACCACTTTAAGGAATGTCTCTTCTATGTAAAACGCTGAGAGAAAGGCAGATGCACAGATGTACTAGTGTACACTTGAGCCGCTTCTTGCTTTGATGGTAAGGAAAGTGCACACGAGAGGTTTGGCTTTAACTTTCTTCAGTGGCTCTCACGTTTGAATACATTACAGCAAATATAATTTGATTTTCTTCAGAATTCACTTTATATAAAAGAGACCGTAGACAAGTCCCACAGTGAAGTAGCTCCCAGTTAAGACTGGGAGAGGACACTTTTGTGTTACATTCCCTAGGTAATTAGGATCCTTGCCCTAAAATTTCACACTCGTTCATTTTAGCAGACCATATTGGGAGTAAATCATTGTGATTTTATTCTTGTTCAATGTCTTTTCCTCCATTGGTTCACGAAAAATTCTCTACTTTTCAATATACTGACAGATA